TGTAGTTTTAAACAAGCTATATTTGATTTCATGTTTATTACTTTTATCTGTTTATATTTATGTTTTTTAAGTGTCTGTTCCAATGTACGTTTTTGTTGTTTATTCTTAAAAGTAGAGCCTTAAAAATTACAAAAACATTTTATTATTTTCTTATTTACCTCTATATATAAAAAATATATGTAAATAAAAAATGTAGTCATTTTATATTCAATCTAGTGATTTTTTAGCAAAATTTCTACTGATTTTTATTTTTTGAACCTGGCAACATTGGGCAGAAGAGACTGCATTATTATTCGAAATCGACTGGCCTATCACTGAAAGTGAGACACTAAGGACATCGAAATATTAAAAGAGGATCGTCCGCGTCAACGGTGCGGCGGCTGATGATATGTGTACGCCCGCCCTTACCACCGCAAGCCCCGGGCCAGCGAACTCTCAGCAAGCTGTAGCGCGAAAACTAGGCAATTTAGCAAAACATTTTTGATGGCCCAAAAATCAGAAAAAATCACGTGTATGACAACGCGAGGTACCTCAGCTGTTTCAGCGAAAAAGACGTTTTTTGGGTTTTTCGCTCTTTTACGAAAATCCGGAAAACCAAACTCTTACGACAATATTCGCAAGCCTTTATTACACCATTACGTCAGCGGACATAACTTTGTGGCTATGTTACGACTTTTTCGGCAGTTTCTGCTATTTAACTGGACTAACACGGCGGCGGCATCTTGAGACAATTTTCGATTTTCTACGTGATTATTTGCATTAAAATACAAATAAATATCAAAAAAGGTTTGTAGTAGGACAAAAATATAATTTGCCATCAAGTATTAGGTAGCATGAAACTGCTTGCCCTCAAGTCAACTAAAACAATAAAAAATCAGCATTAACGTATCAAGTAATGTTATTTTCAAGTCAAGTCAACTAGTTTTGAAAATATCAAGCTGCTTTTGCGAATCGGCCATACTATGCTATAGCAAAGGGAGCGATATTTCATGATGACGGACGATGGCTTGTGATACACATTTAGGCCGCAGAGTCGAGCTTTGCGGGACATTTACTTTGTGGAAGTGATATGCGATAATAAAAGCATGGAGATATTATTTTAGAGCACTCAAAGCAGTACTGTGTTTCTCGCTAATCAAAAGCCGTCCAATTATTTCATCAAACTGCTTTTGCAGAATATTTTTGACAATCCGGCGACGTGGTCTCTGTTCAAATTTCAGCTGAAATGCTATTGTTTCTTTGATAAGCCCCTGGGATGCCCAATCACTGATGGCAGTTCAACAACGTTTTTTGGTTTTTCAATGTACCTATAATGTATTTTGGCTCTGCTTATACACCTATTTTAAGCTAACTTGATAAAACTGAAATTAACTTACATGAGGAAAGCTTAGGTTATGATAGATTGATTACATATTAACGACCTTCTTCCCGATATGGCTCTCCATAAATGCCTATGGGGGAAAATTCGTAATGCCTCCTCTTCAAGATATAGTGTCAAATGAAATATAGATTTTTCCTTGAAAATTTGAATTCTTCAACCATTTTTGTTACAATTTGAGCAGGTAGATATGTCTCACTAGAAACTTAAATAAAATCAGAGAAAGTCTCAAATTAATGGTCATGGCCTTCTGGATCGCCGCACTTAGATCCGTTATGTTTTGCTTCCTATGCAACTGGCGAGTAAGTATTGTAATCGCCAAAAATTTTGTACCTGAGATATAATATTGTTATAGTGTTATAATGTCATCTACATCACTAGAAAACATGTAATTAATTTCTATCTGTCTGTCTAACTGTCGGTCTATCTGTCTGTCCCTTGCCCGTCTATATCTTGGAAAGTATAGCTCAGATTTTGGTGAAATTTTCACAAAAAGTTGTTACGATGCCAAGGACAAAAAAGGGTTTAAAATCGCCAGTGGAGGCAAAAAAACGATAAAACAAAAATCACTCAAATTTCGTTATTTTGATTTTTCAGAACCTCTTGATCATTTCCAGAAAAAAAATTGTGGGGTTTCGTAATTGGGGGTTTGGGGTTGCAGCGGGTGGGGCTGGAAACGTCTTTGGTATCAGTGAAAGACGTAATACTGTTAAGAAGCTTCTGGTCCCGGAAATAACGGAAAATTTAAATGACAAAATTCCGATGAATTATGTGCTCATAATTCAAAATAATACCCAGCAGTGAGGTGCGTTGATGTCCCTGGAGGATCAAGGTTGACGAGAAGAAATGGGTGGTGGTGGGTGGAGAAGAATGAGTTCGAATGCTTATAATCGGGGAGTGTTTGAGTATTAGGAGTGGATATAAATTGGTACATACATATAAATAAGTATCAAGAGAGTAATATAAGAAGGAAACGTCGTCAAGTAGATCGACTCATGATTATTGACTTAGAAATAGCTGAAATATCGTGATTCAACGTTTCAGAGCTTCCTGCTCATATCAGAGAGTTTTAGGAGGAATTAAAAATTAGAAGTTGGAAGCGGTAGGGGGTAAATGGCTGTATATTTGTTGCAACTTCAGTGTTAAAAAATGATATTCCATTATCAAGATGCTGCTGATCCCGGTAATACTAAACATCTGTTACACCTGATAATCAAACAGAAATATGATAAATGCTCTTCACGCAGTTTGAGATATTTATATATATATATATATATATTTATATATAGTAATTTATTATATATCGGACTTAAGTGAACATATATCAAGCTTGATTCCGTCTTTACCTTGAAATTCGCAAGTGTTAAATGTCGCGGGGGTAAATAGTGAATCAAGTGGACGCTACTTTCCCTTTAGGATTTTATGACGCATTTTTCTTATTCAATACAATTAAAAGCTCCAGTGTTCTGTGCATGCAACGTTCAACAATATCTAAGAAAAAAACCGAAGTACTATTGAAATGTCCACCAAAAGTACATATTTCCTAAAACTAAAATGCATCTTCAAAAAGAAGCATCAGTGGACCTAGCTTCTCATGTTAGTGTCACTCACACTGCTAAAATGAATTTAATGACTCCTCATTTGTCGAAATCTATCAAAATGTCTGGTTTGCAGCCCGTGAAATATAATTTTTTGGATGCATAGATATATATACCCACGCGTGTAAAATATAACACTCTGTCTGAGGCAGTCTAGTAAAAAATGTGTAGGCATTCAAATTCACAAGTGCGTGTCGAAAACGGACATGGTCCATTTGGCACCCTTTCGCTGTACATAGATGATAATTGATAAAAACATCCATGTCGTGATATGAAACAGAGAGATGTAAACAGGTTCTCGTCTATATTCAAGCCGTTTTTAATGTTTTACTTTTAAGTTGTTTTGCTGTGAAATAAAAAGTACGTCGACTACTAAAGCTATGATGAACTATGTACCTCCATTACAATTATAATATGCCTCCATGAACAGCTCTGCCTACTTACAAAATAACAGAAATTAGATGGAATTTTGCTTTATATTTCTGATTCCGGGCGTAAAACCTGAAGATAGTACGCTGTGAGAGATTTCACTGTCTACTGGCAGCGTTACTGGTAGTCTTATAACCTTACCATTTAGCTGTCAGAAACTACATCCGAGTATTTTGTTGATATTTCAGCTGAAAAGCTTTTGTTGCTTCGATAAGCCACTAAGTTGCCCAACTACTGAAGGCAGTTCAACAACGATTTTTTGCTTTCCGATTAATGAGTTCTTTGGTTATACTTAAAAGTGACCCCAACGGGGTTGAGATTTACTCCAGGACAGCAAGTTGATATAAAGAGTGATATCTTGAATTCTTTCAAGTACCTCCACCATATATAAGCTCTTTATACTGGGGGTACGTCTAGAGCAGCCGATCAGACTAGTAAAAAATGGCGTCAAGTGCGTTGACTCTGTACTTTCCACGCTACGGTATCATCAGTTCGTAAAGGACTTTTTTTGGCAGCCATTCTGAGAAAAAAGTTAGTCACAAACATGTGTTACATAAAATTAAATGACCTTCCTCCTCCTCCTACGAGGAATTGCTGCAGGTGCACATAATTCTTGCGATGACTAATCCCACGTGAATGACTATATTGGCCTTCACCATGCACAGTACACGCAATGCAATGAGGTGAGCGCTTGAAGCGACTGGTGTTGTGTTTGAGGGCAGTTAATGTCGCACTGTTTCTGGTATTATATGTGTGTACTGCCCTAGACTCGCGAACTGGTACATATTTTTCGGAACGTATTTCCAGCCGGAATATTGCTAATTAGGCGTATTTGTCTTTTTTGTACTACAAATATTCTGCCTTTGTCAACACTGTTGCCCGAAGCCATGATATTATAGCTTACGTGTGAGTATGCGTATGCATAATATACTCGTCTAAGGTGTCTTTTAGTTGTAATGAGGCGTAGAATGCCTTACTAAGTTTTTGGCACACAGTTTCAATATGGTCAGAAAGAGATAGTTTTGAGTTAAAATAAGTACCCAAGGAGTAGGTAGATGTTTTTGGATGGCGTAGTTCATTATGAAGGTTTTGCCTTCATTTAGTATTAGCATGTCACGTTGACACCAGCCACTAAATTCATCAACAACATGGGCCCCTTTATGTTGAAGCTCTTGAGGATTCAGACCGTGAACTATTATCGTCGTATCATAGTTAACCTCCCACGTTTTATGTAAGGCGGCAGATCATTTATGTATAAAAGAAAGATTAGCGGTCCTGTGGTACCCCTATGCCAAGAATCGTGGTATTCGATCTAACTGTTCCGATTCTAACTTGGAATTTACGTGCACTCAAGTAGGATATAATCCATTGCAGGGGTGTTTCACGAATAACAGGTGTCTTTAATTTCTCTTGCAGGTAGTCTTTCGGGATGGTGTCGAATGCTTTTGACAAATCAAAATGTAGTGTTGCTACATATTGTTTGCTGTTTCTGTAGATTTTGTAGATCTAAATACATGTTGAGATTCTGTTAATAAAATAAGCCTTGTTTTCCAACGAAACAGCTAATTTGATTGTACATATGCTTTTCCAATAACTTTGCTATACTACCGATTTGCGAGATCTGGCGGTAGTTTTCAGGTTTCTTACTGTCTTCTTTTTTCAACATTGGTACCACTATGGCCAGTTTAATTACATCTGGATAACATCCAAGTTCTATGGACTTAGTAAACAAGAAAGCAAGATGATCAACAATAAGGCTCTTTACTGTTCCCAATGTGTCTAACGACAAATCATCAAAACCAGATGAATGTTTATTGCTGCTATTGGTCATTAATGTTTTGATTTCTTGCGGAGTTACCGGGGATATGAATATGGTTGAATGTGTACACAGCAAGAATAAATTTTGTCCAAAACTCATTGAGATGGTGTTAGGTACTGAAGTTGAAAAGAATTCTGCAAATGTGTTAACGATTATTAAGTCATCAGTTTCATTTTCATCATCAACATTCAGGCAAATATTGGATTTGGATTTGTTTACCTGTTTGCCAGTTTTTTCATTAACAAGTGACCAAACTTGTTTCACTTTATTATTTGCTCCTAAAAACTTGTTGCTACAGTATGCCTTTTTGTACTTTCTATGAGCTGTCTATATTTCTGTTTTTCTATAGAATATATCAGTTCGGAAGGATATATTGTCGATAGACAATAAAGATAGTTAAGGTACTTACTCCGACGCCAAGCAGCTTCATTGATCCATTCGTGTGTGTACTTTTTTGCTTTATTGGTGTGATCAGCGTGTCGTACAGTCTGTAGTGGTAAACGCATATCGTAACACCAAATGAGGGAGTTAACAAGAAATTCGAAACCTCCATTGACATCCATATTCTACATTAGATACCATTCTGTTTGTGAGACTAGATGTTTATAATGATTAAACCCATTTTCACTAATAAGCCTTCTGCTGTAAGTAATACTATTTTTGCTGTTATCTTGCACGCCATGATTATATGATATTTCAAGTAAGTGAGCATAATGGACAGCTAGAATAGGATTAAGTACTTCACAATTTGTTTATCCGGATAGTTTGTTATCATAAATATAGTCGATAGCTGCTGAAATAACATGAAAGTTTTGGTTTGTAAATACCCTTGTTGGTTCTCTAGTTGTAATATGTAGCCAAGAGCAAAGGTCCTACGGACCGCTCTGACAGATAATGACGAATAGAGGGTCAAATGAGTCTAATATGTCAATCAGACTAATGTCATAAAATTGATATATACCCTCCGCAAGCCCCTGCAACCCTTAGCGCCCAATTTTTAACACCCACAAAAATTTTTCCGAAAATAATCAAGACCGTCTGAAATGTCAATAAACGGATTTTGAGCGATACCAATTTTTTTAGTTCTTGTCCCTTTTCTCCGCTGCCACTATACTGATTTTCAAAAGCTACAAAGATTTTGTGTCCTTGGCATAGTAGTAACATTTTCTTCAAAATCCGAGCGGTACTTCTCAAGTTATAGGTGGTTTAAGATCAGCGCACACACCGACAGACAGACAGACCAACAGAAATTAGTTTCATGGGTTTTCGTGATGTACTTGCCATATAACATCCAAAAAACATAATATTTCATTTTCGAAAATGTTCACGGCGTGAGAAATAAGAATTCGATAGTTAGAAATCCTCGTGCGAGTCAGACGGTGATGAGGTGGGTAAATTAAATGCTGAAAAGTGTTTATTTCGAAAACTTGATAATTTGAGTGAAACGTAAAGAAGTGGACTCGCAAATAAAGCTTTATAGCGAATAGAGATAACGACATGCGGTGTTCACTAGTTCATAGAATTTTTCATGCACTTTCTGGATAATGAAAAATATTACTGAATAATGAGCGGTGCAGCTAAGCGCGGCCGAGGAAATCCAGAGTGGGGGAACAGTAGCGCGCAGTGGTACGGAGGTTGATAAGTGCCCGCTTAAGCGGCCTATGCACTGGCTCCTTATGGTGGCCGGAATGCCTCTAATTTCAGGATTCATTCATTCAGTGGTGTTGCCGAGATTCGCTTAAGACATATCAGCATGGCTTGAGTTCTTTGGGAACCTTATTTCTGGGTCAACTCTCGTGTCTTGGTATCATCCCAAACTACATATTAAGTGCTATTCCAGATTTACGTGTCGCTTCTTGCTCAGTGTTGGATTTATGCTTTTTTGCCTACAGCAAGTGGTATTTTTCTTTTTCCTATGCATATCTCCCCGCATTTACATGGCTCTTGGTATACACAGTTGTTGGCGTTCTGGTTTTCATTCACACGTTTAGTCTTCGTGAGGATTCTACAAAGTGTGGTGTTCCTTGAAAGTCTAATTTCAATTTGGTATCGACTTCCTATTCATCTGATTGCATAGCTTAGTTCTTCTATATATATTGTAGAATAAATGTATTTTGAGGTTTATTCCACATGTTTATGTTGTTTTCTTCAAAACTATATTTTTTTTTTATTACACAACAAATTTGAGTTGAGTACAAGTACTATAAACTCAAACACAAAAATAGATAATAGTGTACAGACAAAAGAAATATAACAATTTGACAATCTTAGCACTTCTGAAGTAGACATATACAGAATGTGAACAATATGTTAAGCACTGCGGTGTCTATCGTAATTGTTTTTGAAACTGTTGTCGGATTCCGAGTTCACTACATAAGATGGAAGACTGTTCCATGCATCGAAGACACGGTTTGAGATGAAGCGCTGACGAGTAGAGGTTCTAAAAGCTTCCTTCTGCAATTTGAAGTTATGGCCTCTGAGACTGTTCGTTGCCAGACGAAACAGATGCGACATGTCCACACCAAACAAATTATGCAGTGCTCTGAAAGTGATGATGAGATCTCCTCGTACTCTTCTATCAGCAAAAGCAGGCAGGTTATATAGCTCGAGGCGGTCTTCATAACTTGGCCTGCGTGTGCCATATGGCATACGTGTAGCACGACGCTGAACGGCCTCTAATAAGCTGCTATCGCGAACAAGGTTTGAATCCCATACCGGGCCAGCAAACTCCAGTAGGGGTCGTACGAAAGTTGTGTACAAAAAGGAGGAGGTACTAACGGTGCAACCGCTAAATGATCTTTCCATCATATATAGCAACCGCTTTGCCTTAGAGGTTATGTTCTGAATGTGCTCCGACCAGGTGAGCCGGCCATTAACTGTCAGACCAAGATCTGTGTGATGAAGAACAGTCTCTAAGGTATGTTTGCCAATCTTATATGTTAAGTTAGGATTATTCTTTCCCAGGTGGAGAACGTAGCATTTCGATAGATTTAAAGGCAGGAGCCAAAGTTCTGACCACTTTCTGATCAGCTTGAGGTCTTCTTGAAGCACAGATGAGTTCATGACAGTATTATAGACTTTAGTATCATATGCATAGATGGAACACATAGAATAAAGTCGGGTGGGAAGGTCGCTTGTATAAAGAAGAAAAAGTATTGGCCCTAGCACAGATCCTTATGGAACTCCACTAGTAACACGATGGCTAGAAGAATAGGCGTCTCCAACACGGACGGAGAAAGATCTATCTAACAAAAAAGCTTCAATCCATAACAACAAATTTCCCCTGATTCCGAGATGTTCAAGCTTGTGCAGGAGCCTTTTATGCGGAACTCGATCGAAAGCTCTGGAAAAATCCAGAAAAACCACGTCGACCGGTTCATTTGGTCCAATTGTCAATGCAGTGTAACATGTTGGTGATAATTGATCTACCAGGAATAAAACCATGTTGGTTGCTAGGCAGCAGGTTGTTCTTGAACGCAAATGTCATAAGTTGTTCCTGGACGATCTTTTCGGCTATTTTCGCAGCTTTAGGCACAAGACTGATAGGACGGTAGTTTTTCGCAGATGTTTTATCTCCTTTTTTGTATATACGTGTCACAGATGCAGTACGCCAACAGGAAGGAAGGATGTGATTTTGAAACGAGGAGTTCAATATAATGCACAGGGGGTATGCGAGAGCTGAAGCACAGGACTTCATAACGGCAGAAGTAATCCCATCCTTCCCAGGGGACGAACAATCGTCGATCGTCTCGACTAAACATTTCCCACTTGATCTCAATGACAATTCTTATTATGCCTTTTTCGTGGTTGCTCGATGACAAAAAGAGAAATTTTGATAATGCCGTACATGTGTTAGTTTTCTGTATGAAGTGGTTTTCATTCTGGAATTGTTCTTTATTGCCATGACGTTTAAGGACGGGAGGCTGACTGTTGTTGTTCCCCAACTCCCTTGTAAAGTTTAAGTATTTATTTATTAGTTGTTCCCAATTTTCAAGTTTTTACCTACAGGTGTCGAAAATAATACATATTGCTCTCTAGTAAAAGTGTGAATTACTTAGTTATCCGCACTTCAAACTTTCATATTTTCCACGAAGCAGTTCTCACAAATTTCGTCCACAAAACATCTTGTAGTGCTACCGGTAATTCTCGTTTATCCGAGTTTTCTCGTCGGCAAAGCACTCAACTAATTTAGAGTTTGTTAAAGTCTTGAAAAGGAATTGTAAATACCGCGATTTCCTGCAATTTGTTTCGCATCCGGGCGAATGCGCGACATAAATTGCCCCAAATTATGGCCGTGCGACCGCTCTCCGGTTTTCAGCAAATACCTTTGGAATCGTGGAAACGACGAGCGCATCTACAACCGCAAATAGAGCACGAATAGCAAGACAACAGGCTATATTGCTGCTTTCTCTAAAGAATAATTGGATTTATCAGTCAATCTTTCGACAATTGTACTTTTTACTTCGCCAAAAATTTCGAAAATTAAATATTATGTTTTTTGATTTTATATGACATGTATTTTGTACATACCTGTACATCACAAAAAACAATGTCACTCACTTCCGTCGGTCTGTTGTTCTGCCTGCTGGTCCTATAACTTGGAAAGTGCTATTCGGATTTGGATGAAATTTCCAAACAAAGGTACTACTAAGCTAAGGACAAAGCTTTATACATTTTGAAAATCCAGTGACGGCGGAGCTAGGAGCTCGTTTTTTGACGTATGAGGGAATTCTGATCATCTTTGAAAAATTTTAGGGATTAAAAATTGGGGAGGTGGTGAGGATATATATAGAAATTTTTTGGTGCTAAAATATTGTTACATTTCCAACCCCTGTAATTATAAGCGCCTATTAGACACATTTCACACGGTAAATTTGCCCTTAAAACTTATAACGATAGAGAAATGTGTTCAACATGCGTCCATGCCGGCCTTCATAAGTATCCTTGCATGACTGGCGCTCTGCCGCGCTGCTGCGTCTGATGCATCGTGCGGTCATGTATTAGAGAGAGGCGACGTACTAGGGATAGGGAAGGTAAACGCTGTCTATGGACTAATTGTATGAACCGAATTATTTCTCTGTTATAGATGTTCGTAGCTAGCTTTTTCTCAATGGGCCTAGCTTTCGTCCGACCAGAAAAGTTAATATCAACTTTTATGTATTTGACAGCATCTTGGCTGAGACATAGTGTGTTCAAGTTTATTTCATCTAATATTGATATTTTTCTCAAATCACATGTGATTTAGATGAAACTGTGAGTCGCCGGTAGGCATTCAGAAACATGATTATACTGGTAATGTCACCTCAGGGGCGGGTCTATAAAATTTTAACTAAGCACGCCACTGGTTTCTATTAATTAGTACTTTCGGGGTCTGTAGGTATAGTAGCTATAAAAAATCTAAACCCACCTAAATAAACTGGCAGGAGTAACATGTTCCCAGATTGCTCTGGTTTTATCCATCTAAATTCATAAAAAAGAATAAAACTCGCACATTTTGATATCGCTACCCCTGAGATAAATGAGTCATATATAACCAGCGAGCCGTTGTATCAAAATAGACAGT